GGGGGGGGGCAACGGCTGGTATACATGCTGCAAGAAGTCGAAATGCTGGGGTGCCAGCTCAGCAACCAGTGGGATTAATGGGGTGAGGAACCTCCTTGTCTTATAGTAATGCAGATAGAGGCTCTGTTGCTTCGTTGACTAGCCAGAAATGCGGCACAGCAGCAAGGGGGTGCCACGTGCTCAAGCGATCCATCAAAAAGTGAGCATAGACAAAGCTGCAAGGGCAGGAGGCCACGTGTCTGCGCCCGCAGGCCACTCGGAACCCTGCCATTTTGTCCAATGAAGCCAGTTGACAAGCAGACCACCATGTTCCTGACACCATTTGAGCGCGCACATTATAGCATGCACAGATGTGTACAAGCTTAAAAGGGGGGGCTGGGTGAGAGCAGATGGAATTGAAGCCACGTCAGGTTTGCTGATTTCATGCAGGATATTCTGACCCGATGATTTGCCGCACAAGAGGTGGCCTGGTGAACAACTTGACCCAACAAGACCCCGTCACAAGTTGAGAGTTACACGTTGACTTGACTTTCACACCTAAAAGCACCTGGGTACATACCGGCAGCACACCACTGGGATGATTCAAGTTTTTGTGAAGTAATGGTAAATCAACTCGTGCCGACAGCACCACAGCCAGTGTCTGTATTGTGATCTCTGAGAAGGATCGAGGTGCCCCCAAGCACTCTTGCAGCTTGCGTGGATATAAAACAACAGATCTGAGCCGTGTCTTGGAGGCAATGGAATGAGCAGTGTGCATGTACAGCAGGGTCCTGCAGTGACTAGCAAGCTGCTGCGCTGATGCTCAGAAGATCTGGCCCATGCCGCCCTCGTTGGTGACGGGGTTGCCAAAGTTGTCAAAGCTGGTGGTCAGGCCGCCGTTGAAGCCCACACCGTTGTTGTCAAAGCGGGTCACGCCGCCAAAGTTGGTAATGGGGGCCCTGTCCGAGGGCGCAAAGCCGGCGGTGCGGCCCCCGATGGCCAGGATGTTGGCGTTGGCGGCAGCGGCGGCCTGCTCGCCCAGGCGGCGGCGGAAGATCTGGCCCATGCCGCCCTCGTTGGTAA